CCTTGAGCCAATACTTCACTATTACTAGCAGAGCAGTCTAAGACTCAGTAGCTTGATGATTAATAACGTCAATGTTTCAATTGCTAAGTACCATGGTTCGAGTCAGAGTGTTATTATCAGATTAGATAAATACTGGTAGTACTGCATCTAACTGACGAGTCTCAAGTAGGCCAAAACTTGCCTCATTGCTAAGTCATAATCACAACTTAGTTGTGACATATGTGGTCCAGTTATCTTTACCCATTTACCCACTTAGCAAATATTGATCGATTGATTGGTTTGTTATTTTCTACCGTTTTGTTTTGTGTGGGTCACGTTGTTTACTACTTCACTCTTTTTGCTTGTTTACCTATATATATATATATATATATATATATATATATATATATATATATATATATATACGACCAATTTTCTTTCTGTTTGACCTTTTCTTCACTGTAACATTGTGATATTATGTCAATTTGTTTACTTATTCAACTTAAAAAATAAACAGGGAAGTTTGTTTACTGAATTTTCTGTTTCCTTACTGTAATACGAATGGTTAAGTAAACAGTTGTTCTTACTACCAATGCTAATACTGTTACCATCATTATTATTTTTATCATTAGTGGTAATGGTCTTTGTGTGTATAAGTTTTCTTCAGATTACAGAAATGGATATAATCGATACAATTCTTAGCCTTTATTAAATTCGACAAAACTAGCTTTGTGAATTGTATACAACTGACTACAACGTGAAAAATCGACTGGGATGAACTGAAAAGCACTAAGAAGTAAACAGTTTTTTTGTCAATTGTGTTCATTCAATACTCTACAGAGAATCGTATCCAATTTGCTTAAGTTATACGAGTTTTCAGTGTTCATTACAATATTTACAATTGATCAATCACTGAGTAATAACCAATGTCATGTTTGCCATGTCTATCTTAGTGCTAATCGTATTCTATCGATCGAGTTGCAATGTGGTCATTGGCTCAAGTTATTCGACATCATGAGCTTTCAAAAGGATACGACATACACGACATTGGTCGCTACTCAGTGGTCAGTTGATGGCAAATATATTTCAGTCCTACACGGAGCTAAGTGTTACGGGATCGAATCTTACTCCTCCTTCTGTATCTGTTCTCTCAAGATTATTTGTATAATTTGCTGACGAGTGCTGAACAGCACAAGACCTTGGTTAGGCAGAGTATCCTGTCTACAACTACATTACATCATTACATGTTTGCTCTGAAAATTCTTTTGTTGTAACGAAACATATTATTATAAATAACTTTTAACGCTTTCGACTTCTGAACATCATGTTTACCATTAAGTAACTGATAAGTAATTGCAATATTGAGTACATGCATTGTACTCAGCAACATGGTTAGGAATCCACTTTTCTTAATATTCCGATGTGGCGAGACTATAATTTATGGACAAACCAATGAAATTAGGTATAGCAGGTTTTGAATTTCAGCGCAAAATTCATTCATCCATATAGTTAAATATTATTTCGGCGTTATAGGTGATTTCAGTTCGTAATGAAAATCTTTAATTCTTAACAATTCTAAATTCTAATTTCTCATACTAATTTGTAACCTTCTTTTGACCCCAGTAAATAGTTGAATTGTCTCAAAGTCACTTTAGTGTCTTTCAAAGGTCGTTCATAAATTATAGTTTCACCTCCGGTGTGTATATTTGGATATGTACTTGTGAATCGGTAAAGAGAATCAAAGGGAACATGAGACAGGTACATATTCTAACGCGCAATCCGTCCGTTCGGAAGGTAGACTGTCATTGCAGATGAAGATATTTTTTCTAGGTTAGCTATCACATTCACAAATCAACCTGTTTAATTTTATTGCGCTTAAAAGGTACATTGCAGGCAAATAAGCTTTTTATCAATCTTAACATACACTCCACGCTTTACATTGTCATATACCCAGTATTTATTGATGAACTTTTGTAGATAAATAATTATTAATTTTAATAGTTGAATTCATAAGTTGATGTAAGTTAAACCACCATTGAAAGCCTGGAAACACTCGTAAATTCAACTATTAAAATTAGTCCACAAAAACCCATTCTGATAATCATCATCATATGCTGACTAGTGACTGGCTTCAAGATGATTTTCTGGAGTTATTTTATTTATTTGAACACATATATATTGGGACAGGAGTGCGCCAAATATATATGCGCCACACAAAGCGACACTCGACGGGGATGGGATATAGTGAGTTATAGTGAGAAACCGTTACCAGTTGAGTCCAATCCATGTCGAATAGAGACAGGTATCTTTACCTCAGACAATGGATGAATGGTTACGCAGGATCATAAATTTTACGTCATAAAGCTATGAATGCATAGATTCATACTACTGAAGTATTCCATGTATATTTACAACATACTAGTTAATGGTTCATCGTTAAGTTCGAATTTTGAATGTTAAATTTTAATTTGTTTCAGAACACCCATTGATATGTTAAGACTGTGTGAAAGATTTTGTTGTGAAAACAGAACATGATGATTTATAGTAAAAACAAAACATTAGATATTCATGATCAGGTCTGACTTTGAGTCATGTTAGAGGTAAGACAGCGGTTTTCATTTCTCGATTGCTCATCTAGTGAAAGAATTCTTCTTCTTGAGGGATCTAAAAATGAAACAGTTGAAGGTGGGTGTTTAGAGGACCCACGAGTATGACGAAAGAGCTGGTCATACATGACCTTCCTACAAGAAGTTCTTCAAATGGTAACTTCGTAATTTGAAAGCCATGGGGCAAAATAGAAGGTACTATTTTTTTATAGTCGAAATTTTATAACATTGTCCTTTCGTTGTACAAAGTTGACGTCACTGCAGATATCGGTTGTCTAACAGAAATAAATTACCATCTTCACCCTACTGTATAGTCAACAGTAGGACTTGGCTCTGTTATGCCCCGATAAGAGTAATGAGTGGTAATTTTCGGGATCCATTTATGGACCAGTACTATGCGTATATTTTTATCGTATAATTGTTAATTAACTAAACTATTCATATTCATGTCTCTCTTATCATAAGCTTTATTTTAGCCTATTGACTGTTATTATACGACTTTGTATTCTTGAATTATTCCCTGTCTAATAGTCACTGCCTCCCTCATTCATAGCCACATCTGGCTAATTCTTGTACAAATGTTGTTTCATATTTTATTGGTACGTTGTGGTCTGTTTGCTTGGTATATAAACTCAGTATGTTTGAAATATAAGGATTCATATTGCAGAAGCTGAGACTAGTATTCTGCACTTAACTGACTGGGCTAGGCGGAAGGCTGGACCAATCAGAACTCTAGGTCGCTCATACGGGTTTACGCGTCATTGATCCGATCGATAATTCACTGCTCCCTAATTGGCGGTCACAAGTTATAACAGGCTCTCAGACTTTAAACTTGATTCTTTTTAGTCTTTTTATTATAAACACTGATTAAGTGTGTAAAAGTCTACTAATCTAAGAGGTAACTTATGTTAATTATAGTTTTGTAGAAACTAAATAAGTTACTATTAAAACAAACTCTTAATAATTTTCTTTTTCATACTTTGCACTATTCAGGGAACATTTTTCAATGTTTCAAACTTATTAGTTTATCCATCTATCGATATACAAAAATGTATGGGGTTATTGTTAAACAAAATTTCAACTGTTTTAATAGAAAAATGACCTTAGAAATAGGCGAATTAATTTAGAAGAATAAAAAAAATTTTTATTATTAGAAAAACTCAATCGAACTCAAAATGTGTACACACCCTTTTTTCCCCCATTCTTTCTTCTTTCTTTTATATGGTGAATGGAATTTTTTAAGTTTTAATAATCGGTGCTTCGAATTAAAGAGAGAGAATGTGTGTGTGTGTGTGTGTGTGTGTGTGTGCGAAAGAGTATATCTAGGGAGAGAGAGAGAGAGGGTTTACATAATCCGAAATAATTTTGTAGACTGTATCATGTTACTTCGAAATAATTTATACAGTGACTTAAAAGAAAAGATTGTTATTACACAATACAATTCTGTAATCATGTTCATTATTTAATCAACAAAAAACAAGCTTCAATTTTGGTTGTTGGCAATTTTAACTATAATAAACAAGAAAATACAAGTTTTGAAAAGAGCAAAAACTGAATGATTCTAACAGAATAGCATGAATTCATTTTATTTCGTAGGTTCTCGTCAGCTGCTTACAATCTGTGATATGTAAAAGCTCATCATTGCATAATGGATTTAAATTGCTAACTGAATATTGTAAATATATACCTAATGTGAAAGAAGTAATTGGAATAGCTTGTACCTGGATTTCAATAGTTTTTGTCCAATTAGTTACAAGAAGGCATTGGTTAAAAGATTAATTTACAGGGTAGAAAAGATATATACCACCGACAAACTGAAAGAAGAATTAATGAACGTAGAAAAATATCTAAAAGACAACTTTTATCCACAAAAGTTTATTAACAAATATAAAAGGCCCAAGGAAAAGAAAACGGTAATAACTTCGGTCAATAAAAAGCCAGTATATATAAATCTTAACTTTAAAGGTGATGATGTCGCACAAATTATCAACAAGAGACTGAATACAGCGCTAGCCAGAACTTATCCGGCTGCTAAACTTTTAATTCTCTATAAAACAACATGTTCAATAACCCAATCAAAGATCGACAAGCAACCCTTTCAGGTTACCGCCAACTGTATTTATAAATTTACGTGTACCTGCCAAAGCAGCTACATCGGCCGAACTGAAAGGAGAGCATATCTTAGATTCTTTGAACATGTTCCAAAAAGTCTTAGAACAAGGGAAAGAAAGACTCTGAACAGTGCAATCACCAAACATCTCCTTGATACAGGACATCAGGTAGATACCTTACAATCCTTTAGGGTGATTAGTAAGCAGCCAGACTCCAGTCTTCTGAAGTTTGCTGAAGCCATTGCCATCAAGCGTCCAAAACCTGACCTATGTATTCAAAAGGAGATGGTGGTTAATATTTCCTTGCCCTGGTGACAAATATTCCTTCACTGCACCTCAAAATCTTTTTTCCGTTTTTTCTTTCTTTTACATTTATTACATCATTGATGTTATTTTATTTTTTCCACTATCTTTCAACTGAACCCTACTCATTATATTCCCATCAATGTTTATTCATTATGTAATCAATTGTCTCTAACCCACTTTTGAACTGTTTTCACAATGAATGTTGTAGAATATTCTTTCACATTAGGTATATATTTACAATATTCAGTAAGCAATTTAAACCCATTATGTAATTATGATTTTTAAATATCACAGATTGTAAGCAGCTGACGAGAACCTACGAAATAAAATGAATTCATGCTATTCTGCTAGAATCTTTGTTCTTGCTCTTTTCAAAATGATAAAGGGAACTATGTGTATGGAAAATACAGGTTTATTTGCTAGACAATAAGCCACACTTTTTTATAGTGAAGATTTATGCGTTTAATGCTAGTTGTGTTTTCTTTGTTTTTTGGGTGAGGAGTAGAAGTATTTTGCACTAATTTGCGTTACAATTATAATGTTTTTCTGGTATGATACTCAAATATTTCGATTCAACAGTCAGATCCTGATCGATGGGAGAATTAGTGACATACGAGTTAATTTCTTTCAATCCCCCTATGACAATATATCATGTTTATTTTGCGTTTATCTTCTGTATATAAATATGTTGTATTATTACAAAACAAAACGTATCGTCTGTCTAGTGATTTTGTCTTTGATCTATAATTACGTAGGGTCTTGCATCAATAATGCATTCTCGTGGGTAGCTATCACTTCACCAGATGTTCCTAAGTGCTAATAATTCTTGCATCTGTCTCGGATTCCCGGCGCAGTGTGTTCTGTTTTCTGCCTTAAGGATTTCAATTTAAGGCTTGTGGTATAGTTTGATAAGTTGATTGATGTGGATCTATACTTAGTGAATAAATTATATAAATTGGTAATTTCACTCTTATCTACGTCTTTTCCGTTTATTTATTTATTTATACACACATTTTTCTTGTTCTCAAAGCTTTAATGTATGCAAGTATATTTGGTAATGTTGGTGCATTAATTCAACGTCTTTATAGCGGCACAGCCAGATATCATGCACAAATGTTACGTATTAAAGAATTTATACGTTTTCATCAAATTCCAAGTCCATTACGTCAAAGGTTAGAAGAATATTCTACACAAGTATGGGAGCATACAAATGGAATAGATATGACAATGGTTCAGTATAGTTTTCCGGAATCATTACAATCTGATATTTGCCTTTATGTATATCGTCATTTTTTAAGTGGATCAGCTGCATTTAAATGTATGTTCAAGGAAGTATTGTCAGTTTTGATCTTACTTTTTTTGTTTATTTAAAGAGTTTACGCACATCTTTTTAAGTCATCATGTATTTACGAATTGAGTTTGATCATCAATGATCACACTAGATTATCGTTTTACTATATCGTGAATTGATTAAAGTTCGAAATATGAGTCATTGGGTCGCTCCACTTCAGTTTGGGTAAGCGGGTGGTATCATCATCCCGCACACTTAAAGTATTGCTCGAAGCAGAGTGCATTAATCTGTAACTGATATATGAGGTATGAATTAATGTGAAACTTAAAAATCCTGAGTTCTATTCTTGAATTATGACACATTAATCTATGCACATTCCCTCAGCACACCGTTTACTTCCAGGTTAGACCCAAACCTACCAAAGTTTGAATGTTATAACAATGTTTATTTTCAGTTTGAATCACGAACTGATCTTAGCTAGACCACTATTGAAAACGTGAAAGCACTGCACGTCTTTTTCTTTATCCTAGTAGGGAATTCCTCAGAAGTGCACATCCATGACTGGGATTCGAACCCAAGACCCTCAGTGTCGCACGTGAACTCTCAACTTGCATCCAATGGTGTAAACGTTTAACTTCAATCGATTTATTTATCTAATGCCGTAGGATATGAATGTACTAGGTATCAACACAGCTTTTTAAATGTTGCCCAATAATTTGAAAGTTTTCTTATCTCAGACTATCACTCATATGCTTCTAGATGGTCTAAATAATCCTATCGGACCAATCATAGAAGGTCCCTCAACACTTTTAATATCGTAATTTTTTATGTGGTTGTATTGTTCCTCAACTTGGACGCTGTCTTTTAGTACAACACGGTTAGAACAAACGCAGTCTGTAAGTGGGCAATTCGTCACGTCATATCGGTGCGTTCGATCAATAAATAGCTTTTTAGTTGGTGGTTTTTGTGTTATTCAGTTTAAATTGTAGATTGTACCTGATTTAATGTAACGTTGGAAATCAGGGAAAACTGGATAGTTTTTTCGTTCTAGTATGAGACTGCTTAGCACTGCCCACTCATGACCGCCACAGTGATCGAACCTAGGACCCTCAGCTCTGGCAGAAAACGCCTCATAATCACTTGGACCACTTGGTTTTCATTTACCACAGGGACTATGTCCTCGGTGCGCAATATTGAGGAGGAGTCCCATACCAAAACGAAATACCCTTTCTTCAGTTACTCCTTGGTTCTCAATAGCACCCCAGATCAGTCAGTCATTATTAACGTATATAGCCTGACACATATATGGATTAGCCCATGATGTCATATCATATTAGTACGGTGAGGTAAAGTTAACAAGATGAATGATTGGAGAAACAAGTATTGTATATTATCAATGACAATAAGAAAGAATAATCATTTGAAATATGATTTGAAGTAGTATATTGAAAAGTTATGGACTAGAATTGAAGAATGAGAAGAAAATAAACAATTCAATGTACTTGTTCTATTTTGATTTATTCTGAGCCATGTTATCCAAATTCCTCCAGCCATTAATTCCAGTTACCTCAACTGAGATCAATCTTTGATCTATACAATCAACACGTAATGTTTTTCATTATGTTACTGTACGTGTCCGTTTGTGTATAACTGCTTTGTAATTACTTGCATATTTATTTCCTTTCTTCTGTTTTTTTCTTTTATTCACTTCATCTAGCATTAAATGATGGTTGTCTTCGAAATATCTCTTTAAGAATTCGTTCTTCTCATATGCCACCAAGTGATACTTTAGTACATACTGGTGATTTACTCACAGCTATGTATTATGTTGTTAAAGGCAGTTTAGAAGTTGTAACAACAGATGACATTATTTTAGGTGTATTAAATCCTGGTGATTTTTTCGGTGGTCTACCTCCATTGGCTAGTGTACAAAAAAATCCTTATACTGTACAAATGAATTCTGGATGGGATTATTGGTCAGAGAATCATTTGAATCCCATGAATACAAATGCAAAATATATGCAAATGGATGATTATTCATCTATGCCTAATACTACTGGTACTACTACTAATTATAATAATACTAATAATCATAATCATAATTCAAACAGTGTAATTTATCAACCAAATCCACCTCCAAAATCACGTTTTGCTGTTCGTGCGTTAACTTATGCTGATGTACAATTTATTGATCGGCATGATTTAGCTGAATTATGTTCTATTTATCCAGAATTATCATTACGATTATTAGAACGTTTTGAATTGACATTACCACTAACTATTTCATCTGATACAAAACCTACCAATATTACTAATACGGTAAGTGATAGGGTATGAGTGTATATGAGGTATAGAAAAGTTGTTTTCTTTCTTTCTTTGTAATTTAATCCTTTTTCGAGGAGATAAATTTATTAGTAAAGCTTTAATCTTGTGACCTTAATACTCCTTTTTTTGAGTTGTCTGCACATAGGTTCAGATCATATGTGCATATACATACATGATATCCTGGAATACAGCCATACTGATATGTCGAGTCTTCAGCCTAGAATGGTATAAGTGGGAGTTGGATAGTGGCTAGCAGTCGAATCCAGGACTCTAGTAGCGTCCGATATAAGACTTGTCAATCGGATGTACCCTGCATCCTAGTGTTGATACTTATACAACTAACACGTGTCCCAAAGTGGGATGAAACGTAAATCCTAAATTCCACTGCTTGCCATTCCCCAACTCTCTTTTGTAATGCTTGTGACTAATGGGAATCCGCAATCGAGGATGTATGTATACCAAAAGAGATCGGTCAATTGCAGTCCTTAATACCATCAACGGGAAGAACCGTACTCTTACAAGTAACTGGCATAACTGAAAGTATTTACAATTGATATTTTATAGAGAAATTTAAAATAGAGATTAGTTTTAATGCTGTTGTTGTTCATTGTGTTTGTTTGTATAATGGTAAAGCCTGTAAAATATTAACCTAATATCACAGTACACCGTTTTATAAATGTCTTCCCAAGGCTTCAAACCAATAAGGCTGAAGTCGTACAAATCAGTTAATGACGTGAATTTTCATCGATTGATATGATCCGGACATAGATTACATATACTCAACTATAGCCTACTTCGATAAGCGATATTACTTCTGTAGGAGTAGATTGTAAGAAAACTTGTGGTGGCCAAAATAAGATGTTTTACTAGACAAGGAAATAATTGGCTATTAACGTGAGCTATGTTAGTAGATACATACTAGTTGGTTGAGGTCTACGCGATAATCGCAATCAACAGTTGGAGATGTTGGTTACATGATTTAGAATCTGTCTCAGTTACATCCACTGACTAAATTGAGGTCCACTATTCCTTCTGAAACTATATTCTCAGTGTTTAATCTTTTTCATAATTATCAAAATGTTTTTACTCTACAAATGCCCTGATACGGTCGAGGGTGCGGAGAGTCCACTCTCCCTCTCGAAATGCTTTCACATGGCCACGTACATACAACAACTGCCAGGGAAGTCCTACTCACTGCCTTCTCGTGGTGAGGGTGTTGTTTATGAAATTGAGAGGACGAAAAGAGAATGTCCGGCGCTTAAACCGAGTTGGTGGACATGGAGAGTTCACCTAGGGGAGTTGGAAAACCCTCATTCCAAACCAATGGTGTACATGGACTGCACGTTCCCGAAGGAACAAATGGTGTATGAATCTATTGATGGTCACCGATTACCATGGGATTGCATCTCCTGACGTTGCTCCCTGCCTTGTGGATTAGAACTTAAGGTCAAAGGCTCCGGTTGTGGCCCTCTAAGAAAACCTCTTGCTTCGGCTTGTGCACCCAGGCAGCATCACAGCCTTTACACGAATCAATGATAACTACTACTAGCCTCATTGTTATTGTGTAGTGCATATGTACTTGGTGCCCCCTTGTACCAATGTTAATTTGTTCAAATAAATAAATAAGGGAACCTATGTAAGTAAAGTATACTTTCACCTTTTGAGTATTTCATCTACGTGGTTTTAATTCTTCCCATGATATAAGAACCCAATTTAGCTATTAGAAAAATTTGTTATCTTTCCATATGTTACCCTATTGTTTATCTATTTTGTTCTGTTCATTTTAATGTATTTTTATCAATATGTCACTACATTTATTTTAATAATAGTGATTGATTCATTATACATATCAACAAGTCTTTGTGCTTATTGAAAACTAATGGATAAGTTCCAATTACAACATTAATGAAATCGAAGCTTCCTAAGGGTTGTCAACACCCTTTCTAGTTAGAAAATTCATCAACGACCTAATGAAGATTCAAGTCATTGGATTTTTTTTATAGATTGAAATATATACACTAATTAATCAGTCGATTGTGGCTATTGTCATGCTTTTTATAAATTTATTGTTAATCGAGTCCTACAGATCAATTCAATGATGATGTTGAGATGTTACGTGGTTAGAGGTCATTAACCAGAAACTCTAGATTTTGGTTCCGTGAATTCAACTCGCGTTACTCAGCTCCATAGTCCGATATGTTACCGTTAGATTATTTGGATCGTGACTGACCCCCTGTAAGGATAGGATACGTGTCCGTGAATTGCTATATATATACTCAAATGAATAATAAATCTTACATTTAAACAGTAGGTAAACATTGTTTCTATCGTTTACCTCATATTATATACATAACATCTTGTTGTGTTAATGAAGTATGTCAACTCGGACCGATGCATATATGTGCCTGGTCCTACGTTGTAGCTGACTGACTGAACATAACCGAATCTAAGTAAGAAATCATACAAATCACGATTAACAGATTGTAAATTGATCTTTCAATGTAAATGTTAGTTAAAATATCCTCATTTACAATGATGATATGTACATAATTTCAAATAATACATTTTCTTGGTAAGTATTATGTATATTATGTAAACAAATATCAGTTACAATTGTGATAAACCCTTTATTCAGATTCCTTTTATGCAACTTGATAACTTTAAATTTATGGTTATAGGTATATACCTGAAAGTATATAAGTCAGTTATAGGTGCGAGGCGTAAACAGTTAATCGGATATACAATTCACCTAATCATTTTACATAACTACAAGTGTAATATCAATAGTTTGTTTATACACTAATCTGTTTGAAATGTTATTTATTATTAACCAATTCTTACTAGTGATTATCATGAATAGTGTAAGGAATTTAACTTAGAAAATCAATCTAGAAGTGATTTAATCTCTTTAGTAATAGATTAACTTCGGAAAATATATTCTGATGATAGTTAGACACTAAAATAACTCAAGACAAAGTTTAAAATGTTCAAGTTCAATGTGAATAAACAATATGTAATATTGTCAGTCATAATTTAAATCTGATATTTAAAATTAATTTGCTTTCGAAATCAATCGGTTCAATACTGAATTCCATTCAGTATAATAAATATATGCCCCCGAATGCTCTGGTACGGCCCAGAGTGGAGAGAGTCCGCTCTCCTTCTCGAAATGCTCTCACATGGCAACGAGTATATAGCCTCTGCCATTGAAGTTCTACTCACTGCCTTCTCGTGGCGGGGTTGTTGTTTACGGAATTGAGAGGACGAAAAGCTAATGTCCGACGTTTTAACCGGGTTGGTGGATATAGAGGATCTCAGTTAGGGGAGTTGGAAAACTCTGATTCCAAACCAATGGTGCACATGGTCTCCACGATTCTGATGGAACAAGTGGCGTATGAACCAATCGTTTGTCACCGACTACCATGAGACTTTATCTCCTTACGTCGCTCCACTGCCTTTTGGATCAGACCTTTAGGACAAAGGCTCCGAGTGTGGCCCCCTAAGTAAAACACCTGCTTCGGTTTTGAACACCCGGACAGTATGACAGCCCTCACGCAAATCAAATGAGATTTGTGTGGCTCATATGTATTCGATACCCCTTTGTACCAATATCTATGTGTTACAATAAATAAATAAATAATTATAAATATATTGTTATTTTTTTATCCAAAAACTAAGAAGCATATAATTTTGTGTGTACAAAGTTATATACTACTTAAATAAGTTGCTTAAAGTAGTGCATTTAATGTTCCATCATAATCTTAAGATTACCACTAGCATTTTAATTCTTTTCATTGTATAGGATCGTTGTTCTACCATACCTAATGTTGAATCTTTTTTGGATGCAACATCATCATGGCATATTGTTTGTTCACTTTTAACTGGTTCATTAACATCACCTGGATTATCGAAACGTCCAAGTGATTATTCAAAATTTTGTATGTTAAATGAAACGTCATATAAAAATAGATGTTTTGATAATCCATTTATTGGGAAACCATCATGGGAATTAGAACGTTATCAACGTTTATTTGATCACGGTGCATTGTCATTTCATTTAACTAGTTATTCAAATGCTCAAATTCCTGTATGTTTTATTGATACATTATATAATAATAATGATAATACTAATAATAATACTTCAGGTGTTACTGCACCGTCCACACATCAACATAATCCAGTTACACGTAAATCAGAATCATTTACTATGTGTTCAACGCATTCATCTGAACAAAATCATTCATTGCCTATTACACCTGTGACAAATACTCAAACATTACATGAACGTCGAATGCGTATGCGATTAGCGCGTAATCTTCCAAACAGACAACATCAACAAGTACCACCTCCAACAATACCATCAGTCCTAATGCCTCCTACTTCTTCTTCTTGTTCTTCTGTCTCAAACCTTCCAGTAAAATCACCCGATAAAAATCGTATGATTCATTCATCTGTGATATATCAACCGACAACTTTACGTGATTTGAAAAATCTAAACGAAGAGAAAGAAATTATTGATTTGCTTGTGAAGCGTTTTGCTAGTGTAGAAAAGTAAGTGGATTTATTTCTCTTATTTATTAATATATATATGTCATGAATATTTGCAGCTTAGATGGATACTTTTGATGTTGTTCAATTCTCTGGACTAGTTGGTTGGATTGCAAAACTTTCACAGTCGTTCTGGATAACATTAGCGCCCATTTCATTCAGAGATAAGCTTCTTAACTATTCCACCAGCCTTAAATAAGTTTATCCTTGTTGACCTAGTTTGTTGTTTTATTCAAGCTAACTATATTGTTCAGTTGATCTCTGACCATGTGCTTGATTAACATGTTTCTAACGGGTTGATAAAGCGAGTCAAATTCAATGTATCATTGACTACTAATTGCTTTCAGAAATCCTCTTATATTTTTAAAATTTCCTTAAGTCGGAGTTTTGACGTTTTCCTAGTCAAATTCATGTCCACATTAGTCTACATGCGTCAATCATTCATTAACAACGTAGAACCTGTGTGTACATATATCATTTCAAGTTACCCCATTTACACAAAGAGATTAAGTTGTCAAACCAAATCTCAGAGTGGTAGCGGTAGCAACAATATCAGTGGTATCAGGAAAGGTTCAGCATCAAAAATACGACCCAAAATGAAAATATAAATTAGCGAAATAAAAACATTGTTATGAAGTATTTAGGTTCTCAGGATTTGTGAGATGACAGAGAATGGATGCACCTGCGCCATTGCAAGTGATTTTGAGTTATGGGATTGAAAGTCTCTAATCATTGGTTACGACAATCACGCGGACCCCAACCAATTGGCATATACCTGTTCATTAAGCTCCTGATTTTAGTCTTACCGTTTTCCAACAGACCTTCCTGGCATGGTAGGACCTAAAGGAACATGCGTTCCAGCCATTATAACTCTGCTGAGTCATCGCGATAGACAAGTCTGACCTCCACATCAAAGTAGTAGTTACTGTCGGTTCTGCATGCATGGATGTTAGCAATAGCATATCATATCGTTTCACTAATGGATAGCCTGTGTTCGTGCATGCATAAATCAATAGATTACTTACCTTGTTCAATATAGTGTTAGTTACAATTGAGGCAGTCTATTGTGTAGATTATGTTGCATTAGTCTTCTTTTGCTGTTATGTCTTTTGGTCTGCATATAATCACGTGAAGTTAATGTGTTGATTCCTGGGTGACATTTATCTCAGGTTTTTTAAATCCTCGTGGGAATCTCTTAAATACCGATCAGATATTTGGTAGAACTATCACTTCTCGACAATCAATCCAAAATAAGGCCACCACAACAAACTTGTTTGATAACTGTGAAACAAGTAAGAAGTTCCTTTCTCAATGAAGTGAGTTCTGTTCATATTTTCTAAAATGAAAATAAAAGCTTCACAGGTGAACCATCTGGCTCAGAGATCACAACAATCTCTCTCTTTGAGTTATGAAAACTAGTGATTCTGCCCGGTCGTGGTTGCTAAAAAGTGAAATAGATGAGTAATTGTTTGAACCAGCGATTTAATCGAACTTATTCTGTACGTAAATTCCGAAATGCACTTCTACGCTTTTATAGAAACCCCACTAAATACTACTGTAGGATACAAACAGTATCATAACATAGTTGTTGACATTTTTTCTTCCTATGGAAAAACTTGATAAGAGGGATATATTCAAATTCATGGATTAATTATATATTCTTCCAGGTTTCCAACGCTGGTCTAACATCAATCGGTTCATGATCTCAATCAAAAACTTAATAATCTCCACAACTCCTATACTGATAATTATATATGAATTGGAAATAATTTGGGTAATTATAGGGTTGAAGATGAATAGTAGATAAAAGTTTTGACATAATAATAACCTAGTAACGCTTTACAACTTAATCAAAGATTAAACATTAAATATGATATAGGTTACACTACTAAATGATGTACTAGTATTATACTTAGATCTTTCTGAATGATTTAGCAACCTGTTGTTTTGTTCTTCACTATTTCATCAGTAAGGGGTTGTACAGTCTGTTGAATTTCATTGGAAATACAAACGGATAGCCATTCTGTCTGAGTGTGTAGCTCCTCAACAATGAACATCCCCGAATTCAAACATGGAAATCAAACCCTAGACCTTCGTTCTCACGCGCGAACGGCTAACCTCTAAACCATTGAGCCGGCATCTATTTATGTTGATGTTTCACTTCAACTAATCTACGCGACCATCTTTCATTGTGTTCAGTAGATAACTGGCTTATACCCGACACGGTTTAGCTTCGTTGGTCACGGTTTTTAACTAGAACTCCTAAAATTTCTCTCAAGGCTAGTGATTAGTGCGCGCACGATAGTCTTCAATATGGGAGTTGTGGAAATTATCGAATTTCATTGGAATCATTTCTTTTGATTCACTAGTTTGTTTGTGTGTACGTGAATCATTAAATTATAATAACTTAGTAATTTTGTTGTATGTTAACGTGATTAAAAATCGATTGCTTCTTGTAAATTAACTGTACATTGGTGTATGTATGTATTTATGTGTTAGGGAATCATTGCATTATTAAGCCTACTTTTAACCTTTTGTTCTATCTAGTCTATGTGAGAAATCTGTGTATCACATCATGAATGACTAAGGTCTTGACCCTTGTTAGTGAATTGTGATGATTCACATGCCCCATCTATAAAAGTTATTTTTGTTTATTTATCTATCCATATATACGAATTTGAAAGTTATTATTTGTCTGTATGCGTGTGTGTGTGTAATGTAATGTATCAATATGTCCGGTTTTTTGTGATGCCATGACAATACAAGTCTAGTTCTCTCTACACCTATAGGCAGTTTAGTCCATATGTAATGAACAGAACACAGGTGGGGACAATCGAATGTATTTACCACAAAATTACAGGACTTGTTAATAAAATCTAACTATCATAAAGTAAATGCTCAATTTGCAAAACGTCCATCGATTGTCTCAAAATGGTTCAAACTTGATTGTTCTTGCATTTTCATACAAATTGCATCCTGTTTTCACTCTTTACTGTTCGATCATCTTGTCTCTCTGCTGCCAGACCTTCTGTTCACAACTAACATCATGTACTACTTATGTTAATATAAATAGCACACACCACACATAGACTGATAAATTAACCAATCATAATAAGGCTTTATATATATATATATATATATATATATATATATATATATACCTTCATTTTATGGTGAATGTTTAATACGAATAAATTTCGGATGTAAGTACCAGTGGTTATTTCATTATAGTAAGGTAGGTGACGTGTGTTATTTTAATAAAATAATTAGAATTATTTTGTGTATTAAATTGGGCGAATAGATTATGATATTATTCATGTAGTCCCTTATTGTGAGTAGTTATGTTGATTCAGATTTTGTGATGCTTAGACATAAGACATCTGGCAATATAAGAGAATATTTACTCAATTAAACTCTCTCGTGTAGTATATTGACCAGTATTCCTCTTTAGAGCTGTGTTGTGGATACACTTGGGTAACTAGTATTTAATCTTATCTCTTCAAAGCACTGCCCGGGTATGTTGGAACCACTGAATGAGTAATGTTGATGCTAGATGCAGAGTAAATTAGCTGGTACAATTAGAAACCTTCACCATCTGAAGTGATTGTGATATGCATTACGTATCCCCAACGACTGTCTACTTCGACGTGGGATGTTGGCTGAGACAGTAGGTTGGGAGGGAACTAGTCGGTGGCTAAATGAAAACGTGGCATCAATCCACAAACTTATGGATTCCTGCACTAAGTCGTTTTGGTAAATTTAAACTACGTGTTCGGATTTTGCCGGATAATCACATTTAGTGGTTAAAAACATCTGGTGGTGATATGCCTTATAACAGACCACAAACACACGACGGTATTCAATCCTTGTTTTGCCTTAGTTTATAAATTATTTTCTATCTTTTGCCAAGCGAATTCGTCCATTATTTCTGAATCATATCCCCTCTTTCTCATAATTTCCCTATTTTAACCTCATTGCTACTACTGCTCTTTCAACTCTTTTACTATTTATGTTGTAAATTGTTATCACACTATGACATAGTGTGTGTAGCAGTGCATATCTTGTCTTAAAGTACTCTGGGTGCTACGGGAACATACAGAGCAGCGCATGTGAGGAAATATACAGAAAGAGAAAATGAACCATAGACTTAGTAAGTACATACAATCCACTTACATTTAATTATGAAAGCGATCGATAACAAACAGTAATAGAGTACAAATAAGACAATTCAATAATCACAACTGGTAGTACTACAGTGAGATTTTGAATCCGTTTAAGTTTGACATTATAACTCAGACTGATTTAGATATGCAACACATTCTATTTTGCGTATAGTTGGTTAAGGGTTGATTAGGGTCTAAATCAATGACTTGTTAATTGACAGTTGTTATCACAACACAAAAAGTTGTTTCTCAAATCTCAATGATTTATCATTAATGTTCAGCTTTGGACAAATGTACTCTAGTCAAAGTGGCCATAACACATTAATCCTACTAGGTAAATAGCAAAATTTCAGAGTATACAAACTATTTATCGTCTGTTGAATCAATTTCAATAAGTGATTTTTTTTCCTTAGATATACAGTATAGTGTTTTTCTTTTAATATTATGCTTTCATAATCTCAAAATAATTTGAGCTTGTTGTTTTTCACCTCACTTATACCTTGATGGTTAACTAACCTGCTTCGGTCTAATCACCCAAGTAGTATCACAGTCCACACACAAATCAAATGACTTGTGGTGCATATTTAGCCGGTGTCCCTTTATATCAATATTATATCTCAATAGTTGAGATCATGAGTCAGTTGAAGCTAAACCAGCATGGAAAACCTGGAAGCACTGGGCGGCCGTTTCGTCCTATTGTGGCTTCAAGAGGTATATCCTGGAGTTCTAGTGAGAAGTAGTGACCAGTGGAGTTCAACCAGGTCTGTTGTGAGATAGTAACTCACTGAAGACAATGGTGGATGTGTCGCTCAATTTCGTGGATTAGTTGAAGTTAGACATTAACACCATTGGATGCCAGCCAGCTCAGTGGTCTAGTGGTTAAGTGCTCGCGCGCGAAACTAGTAGGTCCTGGGTTCGAATCTCGCGAGGCGGTATCGTGGATGTGCACTGCTGAGGAGTCCCACAATAAGACAAAACGGCCATTTAGTGTTTCTAGGTTTTCCATGATGATCTAGCTTCAATTGACTCATGATATCAACTATTGAAATCACTAAAATCTCCACAAAACCCCTTCTGATACCAATATTTATATGTTCAAATACGTAAATAGATAAATTGATTAACTATGGATTTTATATAACTTCGAAATATCACATTATGTTACCTGTCTTTCACGAGAAGAAAAATTCGATTAAATGGGTTTTTTTTTGCTTTTTTGACCTCATTTTTTGTAAGAGGAGATAATATTATGAGACTGAAAGTATATTGTCCTTGAATAATCAATTGGTAAGAAAAATTAAGGAAATATTGTAATAATAATATAAAAGATACAATGATTCTATGTGCTGTTATCCTGTGGAAGAGTCAGTCAATCAGTAACAACATAGAACTTCATGCGTTCGTACATCAGTTCGAGTTGCTATATCACATTAGCACACAGATGCAGTTGTCGATTCAAATCCCATAGTGGTAGAGGTAGTAAGAGTGTAAGCAGTAATCGGAAAGATTAGGGTTTGAAGATGTTGTTCAAGAAGTATAATCCTGTGGAAGAGTACTTTATATAAATTCAGAGTAATAAGTTAAGATAACAAGAACGGTGAATGTGAGTGTAAATCTTCATCAGTTGAGGTGACTTTGACATACACTATATGTTCGAAATTACTGCCTATCGTAACACACAGTATTGGCTAGTGTAAGAATAGGTTGAAAGAAAACTAAGACGTGGCGAAATCGAAACCTAGAATTAGTTATAGTCATTTTCTGTCTGTGTGAACCATGTAGTCAGATTCAGATTTGATCGAAGTTCATGTTGTTATCCATAGCCAATGATTAAATATGTTGGATGACAGGGTTTCGATTAGATTACGGTGGTGTCCATACTTTTTATTACGCAAATTCATTCTCGAGTTATACCCTTTATTCGTAATCTTTTCTATTATTACTGATACTGTTGCTAGTTTTATTACTCTGGGTGTAGTTTTGATGATTCGATCTCTGCGGGCTGATATACCAGTTCAAAATCAAATCTAGTCTTCGAAGAAGGTTTATATATATATATATATATATATATATATATATAAATCAGGCAACCACTGAAGACGAGGAATCACTGGACAGCTCTTTTGTACTGGTATTAAACTTCTCAGTAGTGAGCATCTGAACCCCCTCCAGAAATCAAATCCAGGGCTTTTAGGTATCTCAGGTAGTGTCTGATCTCCGGTAAGGGAACGAAATAAATCATATTTTCATCAGTTAAAGAATTCACAAGGTTAATTGAAGACGTGAGAACCAAGGGAGGAGCTGACATAGCTTCAAATCACCACCTAATTTTGGCCGAGATGAAACTAAAGCTAAAGAAGCACTGGACAACTGAGAAGATCATCAATATCATCCGGAATTCATACGATGGAATACAGTGCAAAGTCGTGCACGGACGACAGCTAACAGATACATTCCAAATGAGGACCAGAGTCAGACAATGTTGCTTACTCCCTCCCCTTTCCTTTTCTTCTGGTGGTTGACTGGATTATGAAGGCCTACTCATCTAACGGGAAGCACGGAATACAATGGGTAGGTTAGATGCAACTAGACGATTTGGACTTCTCAGATGAACTGGCACTTCTATCCTATACACATTAAATGTAGGTCAAAACTGTCAGTGTAGCGGTAGCCTTTGCATCAGTAGTCCTCAACATACACAAAGGCGAAAGCAAGATCCTCAACTTCAACAGGGAGAACACCAACGCAATCATACTTGATGAAGAAACTCTTCAAGATGTGGAATCTTTTATGTACCTGGATAGCATCATTGATGAACAGGGAGGATTCGATGCAAACGTAAAGGTAAGGGTTGGCAAAACAAGGACAGCTTTCTTACAGTTGAAGAACATATGGAACTCAAAACAACTATCGATCAATATCAAAGTGAGAATCCTCAATACGAACGTCAAGATAGTTCTACTGTACGAAGCTGAAACGTGAAGATCTACCACAACCATTATCAAAAATGTACAAGTATTTATAAACAATTGATACTGAATATCCGTTGGTCGGATACCATAGACAACAGTCTGCTATGGGAGAGAACAATCCAGCTTCCAGCTGAAGAGGAAATTAGGATAAGATGCTGGAAGTGGATAGGACATACATTGTGGAAATCATCACACTGCATCACCAAGCAAGCACTAATTTGGAATTCTGAAGGGAAACAGAAAAGAGAAAGGCCAAAGTACGTACTGCGGCGAGAAATGGAAGTAGACAAGAAAATGATAAATAGCAACTGGAAGCAATTGGAAAGGATTATCCAGGACGGAAAATGCTGGTGGGTGGCCTATGCTCCTTCATAAGGGGTAACAGGCCTAAGTAAATTATCTTTTTCACCATTTTTTTTTTATATCACTGATTCATCTTCTCTATATAAACAACCAGAGAAAAGAGAATCATGATATTGAATCGATATGTATCGTTTTTGCTAAATACTACTTTTAATGGTTATTCTTCGGTCAAATTTAATTGTAACAATATAGATAATTACAAAATATATTGTAAAATTAAGTACCAAATTCCGGTCAGGTTATAGATATGATCATTTCAATACAAAATCACTTGATAATAGTAAAAATCATTTGAAAGTATGAGATTTTGTAGGTCACTTTAAAATGAACATTTTGAACAGAGTTGATATAAATTTTAAATAATACAAAATTTAGTTGACCTTTGTGGAAGTGATTTTACAACTCAGAATTAGTGATTGTATACATTTTATCGCAAAAAATAAACTCAACAATCATGGAGTTGTTATTGGTATAGATACTAAAATGCAAAAAGTGTAGTATGAATGAATCATAAAACGAGTTTTGTTATTGGGATACAGGTTACTTATTTGCTATAGATGGTACATATAACAGTTTAAACACCCCAATCCTCCGTCTGTTCATTCACATCACTGAGAAAGCTACCATAATATATTCAGTTCCCCAAATGCCCTGGTATGGTCGAGAGTAAGGAGAGTCCGCTCTCCCTCTCGAAATGCTCTCACATGGCCACGATTATATAGCCTCCGCCAGGGAAGTCCTACTCACTGCCTCCTCGTGGCGTGGGTGTTGTTTACGAAGTTGAGAAGACGAAAAGCGAATGTCCGGCGCTTTAACCGGATCACAAACCAATGGTGCACATGGTCTCCACGATTCTGATGGAACGAATGGCGTATGAACCAATTGTTGGTCATCGACTACCATAAGACTAAATCTCCACACGATGCTCCACTGCCTTGTGGGTCAGACCTTTAGGTCAAAGGCTCGGGATGTGGCCACCTAACAAAACCACCTGTTTCTGTTTGGGAACCCGGGCAGTATCACAGTCCTCACATAAATCGAATGATTTATGTGGCGCATATCTGTTTGATGCCTCCATGTACCAATATCTATGTGTTCAAATAAATATATACAGTTTCCCAAAAGAAATCACTTGTAGTAACATAGAACTAATATTGGTAACAGTCTAATCAGAGAACCTCAGTTTATTCAAAAACCTGGTAAACTGTTCAACTTCAGCTTAATGACAGATAGTTAACAGTAAAAGTAGTCTAGTTTTCTTTTTTGAGGTCGGCGTTACCAAAGTCCACAAGACAATGAATCAAAGCTAGGAGATGCAGTCCCATGGTAGACGGTGACCAACAATAGCTTGATATGCCTTTTGTTTCTTAGGATTGTGGTGCCCATATGCACGCCTAAGCGAACCCTCCCCGTTCACCAACTCGGTTAAAGCGTCGGACGTTCGCTTTTCGTCCTCTCAATTTTGTATAAACATCCCCTCTGCGAGAAGTCTGTGAAGAGGATTTCTCTGTCAGGGTTGTATATGCGTTGGCATATGAGAGCGTTTGGAGAGGGAGAACGGACTCTCCCCATCCTCAACCGTACCAGGGCATTTGTCCATCAACCGGACATTCACTTTTTACGAAATAAATTATTTTTACTTTTCTCCAATACACTTCATTTAAATAATTGTAACAATTTTCGTTTATTTTTTATTTACAGACAAATTGAAAATCTTGACGTTCGTATTTCTCAATCGGTTACTACTATTTTACAACAATTAGAAATGAAAATAACAAAGCATCGATCAATTCCAATGTGATAGATCCAATGAATAGTTTGATTATTTTATTTTCCATTGTTTTAAACATGTTTGCTCAAGTATTTAGTTCTTCTTCGTTTAGTATTATTATCAGTATTACTATTAGTAATAATAATAATAATGGTCATTGTTATTATTTCTAGTATTCATTTTGAAGCATGGTAGAGTGTTTCCATCCTCTATATATCTAATAACCTATACAAAGAAAAAAACCTCCTTTCTGAACTTTTAATTATGTAAATGTAATGGTCTTCTTGTAATATAAATTAATTTCTAAGTAGATAGAGAATCAAGGTGGTTTCTAGAATTTTATGAGTTTTGATTTTAATTGTCATTATTGATTTATTCATGGAGTTTTTTTGTTTTGTTTATCATACTACTAATAACAAAGTATACCAGTAGGGTATGTGCATTTCCATCGAATTTACATATTTAACACATTCGTATAAAAAAGAAAACATTTAATGATCAAATAACCATGGTAACAATATTATACCTTGAGTAGTTGTTAAATCATTTTTTTCAGATGTATTTCCCTTTTTTTGTGTGTAGATTACTTTTGCCAATGAATCCTTAGTGGTGGTGGTGGTAGTGTGTTCTCTTTTTTTTCTTGCAGACCAATAAGAGTGAAATAACCAATGATTGTTTACTTTTCTTGTTTTTCATTGTTTCTATTATATTCATCTTTTCAATCCATCAATTTGATCTAATCAAAACGATGTATCCAATATTGAATAGAAAAAAATTGACGAGATTTATGTATAAACATTGAACATAGAAACTATTAGTGCAATAGAAACAGAACATATTTTCTTTCAATAGTAGAAAAAAATTTCTTTAATATATTTATCTTTCATAGACAATTAATCATTTATTCCCCCCCTCCCTCTTTTGTTTTAACGATATACTTAGTGAATAGTTTGTAAAACATTATCGATTTTTTGTTGTTGTTCATTTATTCAATTATTGTATGTTTTTTTGTACATTTTATTTAAACAAATCACGAACCAAAAAAGGCATTTATTATCTACCATGTAATGTGAGGTACTCATCTATCAGCCACTGGTAACTCTATCTAATATACAGAGATTATTTTCTCTTCTATTTCGTTGTGATTTATTTCCACCCCCCCACCCTCCAGAAAATAGTTTTCTTTTATGTGTGCAATAATAATTCCTTTTTCTTTTGTGTTAAGGGAGTTGTTCATTCATTGTTACATTGTAGAAAATTGTATAGTTGACATATTAGATTATTCATATAATAACAATAATAATCTTCTTAGATAAAACATTAATTCATACAGAAGCATGTATACAATCGGATTCTTCAATCATACATATTCAACAAATGATGATAACAATAATAAAGGACCAATCCGTTTTTGTTTTCTAGTGCTAATGTGGTGTGGCAACTCGAATTGATGTACGTACGTACGAAGTTCTACGTTGTTACTGACTGACTGTTTTCTAGTCGACCTTCTTTTAAACTATCTTGATTTGAAAGAACTATATTCAACAGTGTTATATCCTTTTATGTT